TGCCTATGTAGGCAGATTAATTTTTTGTTTTGTTCCTTGAGATTCATATAGAAGTGCAAGGGACAACGGTAACAGATGTGGTAGTTTAGCATAGATAAATGGAATAGTATCTGATTTTGTTGATGCTTATGTTAGTAGTTTATACAATAGATTTTCTTGATGCTTATGGTTGTAGCTTATGCAATTGTCTGTTTGTTGGCTTTGTGTACGCCTAGGCTTTTTGTTATGTCTACAAAAAACATGGGGCTACAGTAGCAGTATAGCCCTATCTTCAAATATTTTTCTGGGAAGCTTAATAGTCAACCCTATGGTTGTTTTCTAGCTTAACAGGGATATTTGAGATATTGTTGATTGTTAGATTTTTTTTAGCTGTTTTTGAGCATCACTACATTAGGTTTTGTAGACTAATACATGTTTGGATTTGTTAACGAGAATATAGAACAGAAGCATGGCAGATTATTGTTTCCTTAGCCTAAGTTTTTCTGTTAAAGCTTTGAGGCAATCCTATGACAGTTATAGGATGGAGTTCTGGTGTTCTTTTCTACAGTGCTGGTAGCAGTTTGACCTTTGGGGTTAGTGTCGTCTAGTTTTTGCTTAAAACATTACCACACAGCTGTCAGCACATATTTCTACTGTTCTAAAGAGCTTTGAAATGGATCTATTATGATCAACTATATTGTAAATTGTAAAAAATTGGATTCGTGCCATTTTGGCATTAGTTTGATATTTGTTGTCAAGCTGCATGATAAGTTAAATAAATCACCATCTCCTCAATTGAGAACTTGGGATTTTCTTATCTCAAAAAGGCCCTTATATTTATCAGTATGTATGAATATCTTTTAGTGAGTGTTACGAGAAATCAGCGGTCATATCGGATCTTGATGCCTTTACAGTCTTGTTGGTCCAAAAAAAAATATCTTGATTTGGCTGTCATTGCCGGCGAAGGGGAGCCTTGGCGCAGTGGTAAAGCTGCTGCCTTGTGACCATGAGGTCATGGGTTCAAGTCCTGGAAACAGCCTCTTACAGAAATGTAGGGAAAGGCTGCGTACTATAGACCCAAAGTGGTCGGACCCTTCCCTGGACCCTGCGCAAGCGGGAGCTACATGCACCAGGTTGCCCTTTTTGGCTGTCACTGCCGGCGTTCCATGTCATCTAGTGTTGTCAAAGAAATCGTTAAGAATGTTGCTTCTTCAAAAGTGGAAGCACCACTTTTTTTAGGTGCATTGTTGCCATGCATTATAAAAATGGCAGGTATGCGAGGATAAACAATGGTAGGATGTGGTTCATGCACTTTGCGCTCAAATATTTTTTGTTTTTGAAACTGAATAGTTTGTGCAAAAATTTGATCAATAAGCTGGTCTGTTCAACCAACTTAAATGTATTATTCCCATGCATTATTTTCAATGTTTTTCATGGGATTCATAAATTTAAATGTACCATTGGAACAATCAATTGACATTATGTTTACCTCATGTCAGGCATCAAGGTCAAGATCATATTTCTCTGAAATGCGTTGAAAGGATTCTGATGATATTGTCGTTGGTGATGTTAGAGTCGCTGAAGAGTTAATTGCGTTAGACATTGCTATTCACCCAAGATATGAAAAGCAAATGAGACCACATCAGTTGGCAGGTTTCCACTTTATGGTTGTTTCATGAGTATTGTTCTTTTCTATGCTGGATACGGTCACGGGTATTATTGTGGTGATCTGTTTCCTGCTAGTACATTGTTGTTTGCAAGCTTGTATATTTGTAGGTATTGAAGCAACTTTGCTCTTTGAAATGCTAGTGTGAATATAGTTTCGCCCAGTTGAAGCATTTCCACTGCCCTCTACACTCACGTCACCTTTGTGTTTTTCTTTTCTTTAGACACTCCTTTTCTGGGTAGTCTGTGCATGACTGGATGCAAAGAACAGTATTTGAGTTTGGACTGAATTTACTGTAGGTGATATTTCTAGTGTATCTCTAGTAGCTACTAGCTACTAGCTTTATGCATAAAGTTTCATTACTACTTGAATTGGATTGTACCAAGTGAAATACAGAGCTCGATGCCAAAATTAAGGATACCTAGTAAACCTATGAGAAGGAATTGATGAATAAAGTGCCTATTTGTTCATCAATTACTATGCTTGTGTTAAACAAGTGGTGGGTCGACTACTACATAATGGCCGCTGCATTTTATGATCATTATAGTTCTCCACATGTAACTGTCTGTGCTTCTACTTATGATTGCCTTGTATGCATCCCACATTTTTCTTGTCCACCTTGCATGGGGCTTATATGCAACATCAGCAGAAGTGCTACTTCCATTGCTGGTGCAAATTTATTTCTTCTCTCTTACTCCTTCCGTTCCAAATTACTTGTCGCAGAAATGGATGTATCTAGAACTAAAATACATCTAGATACATCCATACCTGCGACAAGTAATTCGGAATGGAGGGAGTATATGATAACTAATCAGTCATCTGTTTCTGTAGGCATGTATTACCGCAGAAAAAGGAAGAGTTCCAACCCCATCAATAATCTTTCACTTACTGCAAATACCATTCGCAGTTCTGGATGTGGCAGTGTTACCGAGGAGTGGGACAGCTTGTATGCTCAGAAGGTCCAATTGTTAACTTTCCTTTCTACTCTGCCCGAGCCCGTTCTGAGTTATGGGCCGAGTGTTAAAACTAATATGGCCAATTCTATTGAGCACAGAGAACAGAAAAACAACAACAACAACAACAACAACAACAAAGCCTTTAGTCCCAAACAAGTTGGGGTAGGCTAGAGGTGAAAGCCATAAGATCTCGCAACCAACTCATGGCTCTGGCACATGGATAGCAAGCTTCCACGCACCCCTGTCCATAGCTAGCTCTTTGTCGATACTCCAATCTTTCAGGTCTCTCTTAACGGACTCCTCCCATGTCAAATTCGGTCGACCCTGCCCTCTCTTGACATTCTCCGCACGCTTTAGCCGTCCGCTATGCACTGGAGCTTCTGGAGGCCTTCGCTGAATATGCCCAAACCATCTCAGACGATGTTGGACAAGCTTCTCCTCAATTGGTGCTACCCCAACTCTATCTCGTATATCATCATTCCGGACTCGATCCTTCCTCGTGTGGCCACACATCCATCTCAACATACGCATCTCCGCTACACCTAATTGTTGAACATGTCGCCTTTTAGTCGGCCAACACTCCGCGCCATACAACATTGCGGGTCGAACCGCCGTCCTGTAGAACTTGCCTTTTAGCTTTTGTGGCACTCTCTTGTCACATAGAATGCCAGAAGCTTGGCGCCACTTCATCCATCCGGCTTTGATTTGATGGTTCACATCTTCATCAATACCCCCATCCTCCTGCAACATTGACCCCAAATACCGAAAGGTGTCCTTCCAAGGTACCACCTGGCCATCAAGGCTAACCTCCTCCTCCTCACACCTAGTAGTACTAAAACCGCACATCATGTACTCGGTTTTAGTTCTACTAAGCCTAAACCCTTTCAATTCCAAGGTTTGTCTCCATAACTCTAACTTCCCATTTACCCCCGTCCGACTATCGTCAACTAGCACCACATCATCCGCAAAGAGCATACACCATGGGATATCTCCTTGTATATCCCTTGTGACCTCATCCATCACCAATGCAAAAAGATAAGGGCTCAAAGCTGACCCCTGATGCAGTCCTATCTTAATCGGGAAGTCATCGGTGTCGACATCACTTGTTCGAACACTTGTCACAACATTATCGTACATGTCCTTGATGAGGGTAATGTACTTTGCTGGAACTTTGTGTTTCTCCAAGGCCCACCACATGACATTCCGCGGTATCTTATCATAGGCCTTCTCCAAGTCAATGAACACCATATGCAAGTCACAGAGAACAGAAAAAGAGTGACATAATAGTTCTTGATTCGGATGATGATGATGAAAGCACAGGAGCACACAAATGACTGACGCCTGAGAAAAACAAACAGCTCACACCTGAGAAAATAAACAGCTGATACCATCAGAACAGGCTGGTGCTCATGAGAGGTAACCGAAGAAATTGATGAAGTAAATGAGACAATGCATGCTAGAGATCAAAACAGTCAAATTGTTCCATATAGTCCAAGTGCAACTTCAATGAATCAGTATCCTTCGGCCAGCTATCAACCATCAGCAGTTCTGTTTGAGAGAGTTATATTGCAGAAAAGACCTGAGGAGGAACGTATCCATGATCTGGCTGTATGTACGTTTCACTTGCATTTTTTTACTGAGAGTTATATTGTTGTTTTTTGTTCTACATGTTTGTAATGTCAAACTAGTAGCATCAACTTTGCACTGCCTCATCAGTATCTCTGAGGGGCACTGCGAAACTGTTATCTTTGTTTTCAATTTTTTTAATGTTCATCCATAATTATTTGACGCATCTTAGTTCACAAGTACCCCTTTCTCTTGTACTGAAAATAATGGAGTATAATTGTTTGATATTTGCTGAATCTACTCCAATTCAAAGCTGAAAATTTTCATCTTCCAGTCGTAACTCTTCCTGCTCAATGTAGGTTGCTACCCATAAGGAGAAAATAGCAGAAACACAAGTTTCCCCTCCACTTCCTAAGGAGAAAAAAGAAAACGAAAAGTTGATCCAAGGTCCCAAGTAGATGGGGATGTTGAAATTGTGCCAAGAAAAGAAAAAGAAAAAATGAAGCAAATCCAGCAGTATTTGATTTGCCCTCAGAACCTTACAATCCTGTGGGGTAAGACGTGCCTATGGAGGAAGATGAGCCTATGGGGGAAGATGAGCCTATGGACGAAGAACATATACAAGAAAAGGAAAGTGATGGTCTTGAAGAATTTTGGAATGAGTACTCAGTGGCACTTGAAAGCTCTAAGGTACAAATTATAATCAGACTTATGACTTTTGTTGCTGCAGCATTTTGAAACATATCATTTTGTAATTTTATAGTATTCTTATAATTTTGTGCTCTGTCTGCAAATTGATTTAACTTGTAAAGTTTGAGAATAGATGAGCTCAGCTCAATAAGAGAAATCTGCAAACTTTATCTTCATTAAATTGTTTATTTGGATTTATGTTGTTTGCCATAATGATTTAGCTATATTTATTGGCCAGCTCGACACACTTGAAGAGGCAGCCAATGAGAAAGAGGTGAACAACGTCTGCAATCATGAAATACAGATTCATGAAGATCTGGGCCATGTATGCCGTGTCTGCGGTATGATTGTGAGAGAAGGGCTGACACAATCATTGATTATCGATGGAGAAAGGTATGTTATTTGTTTAAAATATGTGATGATGCTTCTGTAACTCTGAGGCCGTTTAGCAACATATGTAGTTTTAATTTTTTGGAAGTTCTTACCAAATATCCTTTTTAGCAACAAGCAAAGTGGCCCACAGGCACGTGTGGGATTCCCATTTGGTGTGCTGAAACTGCTTTGAAATACATTTTTTACTTTGTACTCCCTCCGTTCCTAAATATAAGTCTTTCTAGAGATTCCCCTACGGACTACATGTGGAGGTATATAGACATACTTTAGAGTGTAGATTCACTCATTTTGCTCCGTATGTAGTCTGTTGTGGAATCTCCAAAAAGACTTATATTTAGGAACGGAGGAGTATTACACTATTATGTTGTTTCAAGAAAATCTGTTTTTATAAGAGCCAAGTGCCTAAAGGGGCACAATATGCCAATCATACCTGAGAATTGACACATTTGCTCATCTTATCCGACAAAATTGACACATTTGCTCATGCCGCAGAGCCTGACGCTAGACCTCGTGGGTTGTTATTTTGGTTATTCCTGTAGTTCGAGCATGAAGAAACTTTTCTAGTATAGCACATGTAGTTGTTATTTTCTGATATTCGGTATCTACTGTTATGCATTATAATTTTTCAGAAATGTCATGATGGCATAATATAAACTTTGGAATGAATTGAAGTTTAAATGTATGACTGGAACAATCAATTGACATTAAGTTTACCTCATGTCAGACATCAAGGTCAAGATCATATTTCTCTGAAATGCGTTCAAAGGATTCTGATGAGATTGTCACTGGTGATGTTAGAATCGTTGAAGAACTGAATGCGTTAGACATTGTTATTCATCCAAGACATGAAAAGCAAATAAGATCACATCAGTTGGCAGGTTTCCACTTTCTGGTTAAGAATTTAGTCTCTGACAAACCAGGAGGTTGCATTCTAGCTCATGCCCCTGGTTCGGGGAAAACATTTATGCTGGTTAGTTTTTTTCAGAGCTTCTTGGCAAAGTATCCCTCTGGAAGGCCTCTCGTTGTACTCCCTAAAGGCATATGTTGGAAATCCTTAACGCTTGGCAAACCAATAGGAGTATCCTCTTGGTTGGATACACCCAGTTCTCTTGGATCATTAACAGTGATGGGTGTGTCACCATCGCAGCTGCATGCTGGGACATGTTGCTTATGGTTCCTAACCTACTTATAATCACTGCACAGAGTACATACTCCACGTAATTGGTCCTTACACTTTTCCAGAATCACGTCGCAGAAGTGTTCAACATCTTGAACCTTTTGTGCCCAAAATTTCTCAAGATAGTAGCATATATCCTATTGTTGATAATGAATCAAGTATCAATATCAGGTCGCAGGATTTGAAAAGGGGTCACTAATAAATTCACTGAGTCAGTAGAAGAGGCCCTACTGCATGATGATAGCTAAACAAGAAAAACACATGTCATTAGAAGTCTCAGAGAACTAACAAAAGGCGTGCTTCACTACTACAAGGGTGATATCTTGGATGAACTACCTGACCTAGTAGACTTCAGTGTCAGAAATCGTTCATAAGTTGGAAGACTATAAGAAGTAAAAAAAAACGTAGTAGGAACTGCCCTGTACATGCATCCATGTCTGTCAGAAATATTAGAAGTTGATGCTGCAGATAGGGCTTTCAGCTTGATAGATGTAACTGTTGATAGTCTGGTCCGGTCTATCAACGTGGCCGACGGTGTGAAGGCCAGCCTTTTCACCAATATCCTGGCACTTGTGGAATCTGCGGTAGAGAAGGTCATTGCATTTAGTCAGTACATTACTTCCCATGAATTTTTTGAAAAGTCTATTGGTTAAGACAAGTGGCTGGCAAGTATTAGAGTTCTTTGTGATCCGCGGTAATAATAAATCTACTTCAGAAGGTAGAGAACTGACAATGGATCAGTTTAACAACTCTATTGATGCAGAAGTCTTGTTTGGCTCTACCAAGGCATGCGGGGAGGGCATCTCCCTGGTGGGCACATCAAGAGTCGTCATTCTAGATGTTCACTTGAACCCCTCTGTTACCTGTCAAGCAATCAGGCCGGCGTACTGGCCTGGGCAGCAAAAGAAAGTGTTCGCTCGTAGCAGCTGATTCTCTGGAGAACACCTATGAAACTGCATTCAAGAAGGTGATACCAAAGCTTTGGTTTGAATGGAGCGAGCAGTGCTGCACATCGGAGGACTTCCAGCTGAACGAAGTTGATATCAACAACAGGGGGGATGAGCTGCGGGACAACAGGACGATGTGCTAGGACATCAAGGCTTTTTGTATGCAAGGTGAAGGCAGGCTGGCTGTTGTACGTACACCATGTATATATGGCTTTCCGATTGTTCCAGATTGTCATTGTTGTCAAGTAAGGCTCCTCTAGAACCAAAAGAAAGAGGAAACATACTTGACTTGGTACATCTTTACAGATACCTTATATTGGTTCTTATGGGCCTTCTCTTCCTTCAGATGCATCAAACACTCTACATGTTGAAAGTCTCCCATCCAACTGTACTAGACAGGAGCTTGCACGTATCCCTTTATGCATATGATTCTCTTGCTATTTTTTTTTGTCATTTTGTTCATAACTAAACAATATTTTATGTTTATGTCCTTACCAATCTATGTCTCAGTCTTTAATTTTCTGTTTTTGTTTTCACCATTTAGTGCTTCAGCTTCAGCTCCTTGATTCTTGCTTCTCTACATATATTTTGCCCTTTTACTGGGTTCTGTGAAGTAAGGCTGGTCAAAGAGGATATAATAGTCTGACACTTTATAGCTTATGTTGTCTTAGAAACTCTTGCCCCGACGTTTTCTGCCATGAAGTTTCTGCTAGGTGACTATAACATTTTTGTCATCCTAAGTTGTGTCTCCTACTTCCTCCGTTCGGAATTACTTGTCGCAGAAATGGATGTATCTAGACGTATTTTAGTTCTAGATACATCCATTTCCGAGACAAGTAATTCCGAACGGAGGGAGTACATTCTAGTATCCTACTTAATACTAATGTCACTAAATCTTTTGAAGTGTTGTTTGCACATCCTTTGCATCGATATCATTGTGTGCCTAAATTGTGACTCTTATGTAAGTACTTATGGTAGTTGTCAATCCTTGTTGGTTGTTTCAATATTTGGTTGCACAATTTTCATGTTCTTACTGAGCTAGAGTTAACATTCTAGAATCGACATGCACGATACATCCATTTGCGAGTTATTTACCCAAAATCACCACACTTTGGGCTAGGGTAACAACTTGGTACCACATTCAAGCCAGGGCTCAAAAAACCACCTGGAATGTGCCTAATGCATAACGCTGAGAACCGATTGTTTGATTTGCCCACAAAACAGTGAAACTGACAAGTTGGCCCCACCAGTCGGGCTGACGTGGCGTACCTATGTGGATAATTGGCTGAGGTGGCCCAAGGCCCCACCTGTCGGATGCATCTCTTCCCCTCTCTTCCTGTCAAAAAAGCAAAAGACCCGACCATTGCCATATCCTGCGCCGCTGTCGGAGCCCAACCCTGGCGAGCTGCCCCACCCCCTGGCGAGCTGCCCCACCGCCACGGCTACCTGCCATCCGTGCTGTGCCACCCCGCTGGACCTTAGTCTACCTCCATGAAGGTGGATGCATCATCGGGCACCAGCGGCCGCTCGGATCCAGCAAGGATCCGCCCCGCCGCCCACACCGCTGCCTGGCGCCGAGTCGAAGAAGACGTCTCCTCGTGTGTTCTTGCCTCTGCCGCCACTTGCTGCTTGCTTGAGCACGCGCGCGACCAGGGCCTCCTGGCGGGTGCGGCGAGCATGGCCATGGCCATGGCATTCCACGACGGCTCGCGCGGCCAGGGACTCCGGGCGGGTGCGGCCATGGCTCTCGCGGTGAGCACGGGTGTGTCCATGGCGCCCCTGACGGCACGCGCGGCCAGGGTTTCCCGACGGGCGCCGTGAACACAGGCGCGACCATGGCGCTCCGTGACAGCACGCGCGACCAGGGCCTCCCCGCAGGCGCGGCCCTGACGCTCCACCATGGCGCGCGCGAGTTCGCGACCAAAACTCGTCGGATCCAGGTGCTGCAGAGGGTTTGGTGATGTATTATGCCTGTCTCCAGTCTCATGGATTGACATCAATATTTGGAAAATTGATGCCTTTTGCAATCACTTGAGATGGAATTTGCCATGGAAGAGATCACGTAGCTTTTATATGTACGGTTAAATATTTTTTGTATCAAAATAGCTGGATAGCTCAGTTGGCTAGAGCGTGTGGCCCTAACCACAAGGTCGGAGGTTCGTTTTTTTCCCACTTTTCGTGCATGTATGACACAAAAAGAAAACTAAATGTATTCTTTTAGTATCATGTATTTGTACTATACACTCTAATTATAGTAGTTGGATTCTTCCTACACATAGCTATTTATTCCATCATTCCTTGTATGGACGCCCCCTAACATATTCTCTGCACCGGTCATGTCATGTGCTTATTTCAACATGTAGATTTGAAGACCTGGAGATTTTAGTACATATTAAACATTTGAACAACTTCTTTTGATTTGCGATGGTAAATAATAGGGTATTAGTATGCCATCTTGACAGTTGGTACAACCACTAAAGTGTTCTTGCTTTTGCCATTCAAATGTTGACTACATAGAACTAGGACCCTTATGTATGGAATTTATGGATCTAATTAAAACAACCTTTTCTACATCTAAGGACTGTACTACAGTTTAGTTAGTCCAATGCTTACCATGTTTTGCCTGTGTATATGCAATATACATTTAGTTTATATTTCTGGTTGAAGAGAAGGATTGGGCGACACTAACTAGAGTGTCAAGATGCTTGCATTGTCTTTACATGTTGAAATACTCGTTATTGGATTCCATCGCTCATGTTTTTAGATATTATGGAATAATGGCTATATCAGATCGTGATCCCTCTACAGTCACAGTTGTCCAAAAGAATTCTTTATTTGGCTATCACTGCCTATGTCCCTTGTGAGCTAGTGTTGTCGAAGAAATCGTCAAGAATAGATGACTTTTGTGTATGTTGCTTCTCCTAAAAGTGGAAGCACCACTTTTTTTAGGTGTGTTGTTGCCATGCATTATAAAAAGAGAATTAACAATGGTAGGATGTGGAACATGCAGTTTGTGCTCGAAATTTTCCTTTCTTTTCGAAACGGAACAGTTTGTGCCAAAATTTGATAAATAGGCTGGTATGTTCAACAAACGGTGGGATGTTTTGCATTTTTGTGAGAACTTCAAGTCTACCTTTCTATTTCTACCGTCTTTTGCTTTTAGTATAAATAAATAGATAGATAGATGATGTGGCCTGGCTAGTGGCTACATTGTGCAAGACATGGGTTTAGTAACAAATACGGAACTTTGGTTATCATTATTTTCATTTTTTTACATGGTATTCATGAAATTTAAATGTATCATTGGAACAATCAATTAACATTGTGTTTACCTCATGTCAGGCATCAAGGTCAAGATCATATTTTTGTGAAATGCGTTCAAAGGATTATGATGATATTGTCATTAGTGATGTTAGAGTCGCTGAAGAACTCATTGCGTTAGACATTTCTATTCATCCAAGACATGAAAAGTAGATGAGAGCACATCAGTTGGCAGGTTTCCACTTTCTGTTTAAAAATTTAGTCTCTGACAAACCAGGAGGTACCATTCTAGCTCATGCCCCTGGTTCGGGGAAAACATTTATGCTGATTAGTTTCATTCAGAGCTTCGTGGCAAAGTATCCCTCTGGAAGGCCTCCTGTTGTACTTCCTAAAGGCATATTAGGTACATGGAAAAGGGAATTTCAACGGTGGCAAAGCCAATCAGTTGGAAATCCTTAACTCTTGGTAAGCCAATAGGAGTACCCTCATGGTTGGATACACTCGGTTCTCTTGGATCATTGACAGTGATGGGGGTGGCACCGTTGCAGCTTCATGCTGGCTGGGACATGTTGCTTATGTTCCGTAACCTACTTATAATGGATGAGGGCCATACAGCTCAGAATGAGTCGACTAATGTGCTAGAATCACTACGCAGAGTACATACTCCACGTTAGTCCTATCTGATATACTTTCTCAGAATCACGTCGCAGAAGTGTTCAACATCTTGAACCTTGTACGCCCAAAGTTTTTTAAGATAGTATCATCTTGACTGTATAATGAGTCAAGTATCAATGATAAATTCAAGATGTTGGATAAATTCACCAAGTCAGTCAAAGAGACCCTGCTGCAATGACGATAACTTCACAAGGAAAGCACATGTTATTAGAAGTCTCGGAGAACTAACAAAATACGTGCTTCACTACTACAAGGGTGATATCTTGGATAAACTACCTGGCCTAGTAGACTTCAGTGTCTTCTTGAAACTCAGTCCCAAGCAAAAAGAAATCGTTCATAAGTTGAAAGCCTTTGAGAAGTTCAAAAAACCCGCAGTAGGAACTGCCATGTACTTCCCCGTCCCATAATGTTCTGGAACCTCGACTAGTGGGATAGCGCAAGCACCATGGCCGGCAAGGTGGAGCGGCCGGAGCGGACATTCACCCGGGCGCTGGCAGTAGCGGTTGTTCTGATCGCTATCAGTTACCTGCTGCCGGACGCACCGCCGGATACCTGGGTCAATGGCTACTTGGCCGACGCCGCAGGCACGTACAAATGCCGCTTAGTATCAGAATTATTACAGGTTGTTCTTATCGTTGTGGGGCAAAAGTTTTTCATCATTTTGTTTGTTCTCATTCTCCTTTGCTTCCTTTGTTTTTTATCATGTGCCGACACAAACGTCTTATATCTTGAGACGAAGGTAATAGCAATCATCTATCGACAAAAACATA